CAACTCTGCTCTAACTGTCGACTAGCAGTGGGAGTCAGATTGCCCCCTAGTGGATGGCTAAAGATTTGTTAACTCATATTCATAAATTCTCAAGAGAACATCTCTGAATTAACTGGTGCTCGCGTCCCCCCTTGACAGGTGCTGCCCCACAGGTTGAAAACCCCTGCCTTAGACATGTGGAGGAAACTTTGGTTCTTGTCTCAGGGCCCGATGCTTTTCCCAATGTGTTTCTTCATCTATTTGCCCACATTGTTTTGAACTATATTGTATAGCTGTGTGTTGCGATCAGGGCCGTCCGAGGCATGGTGGCAATGCGTTCGTTGTCAAACTCCAAAATTAAAAAACGCCATTATTTTATATAAAAAACATTTTTTTTATTTTATTGACAAAAGATTTTAGTTTGTCTTGTATATTTTTTTTCATTAGATCATATAACATTTTAAGCTGTCATATGGTCATGTTACAACATGCCCCTCAGAGGTTACAATGTAACCCACCTACGGGGCATGTTGTCACATTTTACTTCAGTTCTTCTGGGGTAAATAAAGAAATACGTATACACTGTAATTATGAAACAAAGCAACATATTGTAATGACTTGCAGATGGTGATGATTAGAATGCTGGTGACTGAGATCGCTGAGTGGAGGTGGTTAGAGAGCCTGGTGAACCTGTGACAACAATTAAAGGCAGTTATTGTTACAATGAACTTTATCACATTAGTTTGATCGAAGTATTGTGTTTACATGAGGTTTACAAAGTTTAATCACAATATTAATAAAAAAATCCAATTGTAATCGTATTATGAGGGTGCATGTAAATGTAGTCAATAATAACAAACTCACCCGTGCTTAATGTATGACTCCTGTATGTGTATTGTACGTCTTTACCTTGATTACAATCTTCATTGATTAAAACTTTATAAGTGTGTACTAGTTTGCTTTATCCAACCGAGAGTTTGTGTATCATATTCACACAGGTACAAATTCTTACTAACTAATTATTAATTACAACTTTTGCCTCAATAAACTCCTAATTTGCTACTTATTATTGGTTAATAAGTTAGTTGTTAAGTTTAGGTATGGGGTAGGATTAAGGGATTTAAAATATGATCATGCTGAATTAATATGCACATTATAAGTACTAATAAACAGCCAATATGCTTATAATATTCATGCTAATGCAACTAGTTAATAGTGAGAATTGGTCCTTAAAATAAAATGGTGCATTACGAGACCAGGAAAAACCATGTTGATAATGTAAGACCATATTACAAAAATGTAGCTATTGTACATTGAATACAACTGATGCACTAATCATTATAATCATCATCATCATCATTTTTCTGTGTGGATTCATCCATTCTCCTCACTGATCATCTTATGTAGGATCACGGAAATGTTGCCGCCTACTCCAGTGACTTGGGCTGAAGGCATGGGACACAACCTTAACAGATCACAGTGATGATGTTTTTGTTCATCATCACAGTTAATATTCAATATTGCAGCTTCATGCAGTTATTATAAACAGCATAGTCAAGCAATACACTCTATTAAAGCCTTTATGTTACATGTGAGCCAAGACCAGAGGGAGCGAGAATCCAAGTGCAAGCACAAAAGTTTATTAAAACACAAACACAGATTATCCAAGCCAAGAACCAAGCTGCAATCCACATAGGGGATCATGAGCATAAACCACTCAGAGTAGGCAAGAGAGAGCATCAACTGGGAACACACATACAGGAAACAATGACCGATGCACAATAAATCAAGCACAAACCTTATAAACACACCGACCTTAACAAGCTAATGATATGCAGGCGGAAGTGATCACAGAGTGAGTACAGGCAAAGGTTGTACAGGCACAGATTACAGTCCAGGCAAAGGTTAATGGGAAATGTAGTTCTTGATGGAATGGTAAAGGAGTAGTAAGGAGTGCCCCTGGGGGAGCTTATGGGCACTCCAGCTGGTGATCGTGACACTTTATTTGTCTCTGTACAGTATGAAACTGAAATCTATTAGATGGTTGCATTATCAGTGATCAAGCCTTTTGCAAACATACCTTTTGCACGTCACAGGCATACCTGATTTGCACACGTCTCTCAATCAGAGAACCAGGAAATGAATCCAGTTCTCTCCAGTTCAGGGAAAATGCAACCTAAGTGCCGTTTAGCTGTGTTGTGTCTCTGTCTGTGAGTGCATGCAGTGAAATGGCTGAAGCAAGTGTTTCAGCAGAGCAGTTCAGCTGTTCAGTGTGTCTGGATTTGCTGAAGGATCCAGTAGCCATTCCCTGTGGACACAGTTACTGTAAGAGCTGCATTACAGACCACTGGAATCAAGAGGATGACAAGAGAGTCTACAGCTGCCCTCAGTGCCGACAGACATTCAGACCAAAACCTACTTTAGGCAAAAACACCATGCTGGCTGAAGTGGTGGAGCAACTGAAGAAAACTGAACTCCAAACTGTTCCTGCTGGACCTGGAGATGTGGAGTGTGACGTCTGCATTGGAAGAAAACACAAAGCTGTGAAGTCCTGTCTGGTGTGTCTGAATTCCTACTGTCAAAACCACCTTGAACAACATGAGAATCTCTTTAAAGGAAAGAAACACAATCTAATGGACGCCACTGGACGACTACAGAAGATGATCTGCCAGAAACATGAAAAACTGCTGGACATTTACTGCCGTACTGACAAGTGTCGCATTTGTGTGCTCTGTGTGGTGGATGAACACAAAAAACACAAAACTGTCTCAAGTGCAGTGGAGAGGGCCGAGAAACAGGTACGGCATTGTATGCTGATTCTGTCTGTTGCAACAATATCAAATCACAATTCACATGACCTTAACACTGTATCATTAACAGCTGAAATAAATTTACATTTTTATAAGACGATGATAGACAAATAACAGTGACACTAGAGAAAAAAAGTTAGCTAGACTTCCAGCTAGACTATAGTAGGAAATCATTCATTTATGTGGTTTTTCATGGTTAAGAATGTCATTAATCCAGTTCTGTGAGATAAAACACAAAAGCGGTAGTCACATACAAAAACAATTTGAACGTTTGTTTTCAGTCAATATATTTCTGTGACTTGCTGCTTTTGTCCTACAGAAACACTTGGTTCAGACACAGAGAAAATTCCAGCAGCAAATCAAGGAGCGAGAGCAGAAGCTTCAGGAGCTGAAAGAGGCTGTGGAGATTCACAAGGTGAGTTCTGAGGAGAAGCAGCAGCGCTGGTTTAGTCAAGACTCTTCTTCAGTTGGTTATTGAGGGTGATTTTCAGTCCCACTGAAGCACAGCAGACTGTGTGAGCAGCAGTAAGAGCTGATTGTAATGTGTGTCCTACAGCGCTCTGCACAGACAGCAGTGGAGGACAGTGAGAGGATCTTTACTGAACTCATCAGCTCCATTGAGAGAAGACGCTCTGAGGTTACACAGATGATCAAAGATCGAGAAAAGATTGTAGTGAGTCGAGCTGAAGGTCTCTTGAAAGAACTAGAGCATGAAATTGATCAACTAAGGAGGAGTGATGCTGAACTACAACAGCTTTCACAGACACATAATCACACCTATTTCCTCCAGGTAACACCATGGCCATCAGTCTTTTCATTACTGAGAGCTTTTACAGATTTTATTGACACTTGAGCAGCATTTACTCTCTATGAAATATTTCTGTCTTAAATTTATTCTCTAGTTGTTTGTGTCTGTGTAGAGTTTCCCGTCTCTCCCTGTTCCTCCTGGATCTCCAGATGTTCCCAGCATCACTGACAGTTCTTTGGATGTTGTAGGAAAATCAGTCGCTAAACTGAGACAGAAACTGGAGGATTTCTGCAGAGAAGAGATTGAAAAACTTTCTGGAAGAGGTAAAGTACTGGAGACTCATTGGTATTCTATCTATCTAGTTCCTTTACACTGAAACTGTGTGTCATGTGTGTTGTTTTCCACAGTGACATGCATCCAGATCATTCCCACCCCAGAATATGAGAGCAGGAAAGACTTCCTACAGTGTAAGTTACTAGGAAAATAGGAACATGCAAAAAATAGGATTGTTGTCGATAAAATATTTATATACATTCCTATAGGAAAAGATCCAATTATGAACACTGATAAATCAGTGTATTTTTTTCTATGAAACATGAAGATAAGACTTGTTTATTTACATATAAAATGGATCCCATGCACATTTGGCAAAACTTGTTATCAGAATACACTACATCAGTGTTTTAAAATAAAAGTAAAATATGATATGAAAGTTGTAGTTATCAGCATTCATTTCATTCATAACAACATCCATCACATTTTAGCTATATGAAAACTAATAGATGAATTTAATGTTTTAATTATTGAAACTACAGATTTAGGTGCAGATCATGTTTTTTGTCTCCATCAGATTTCTGTCGATTTACTCTGGATCCAAACACAGTGCACAAACACCTCCGTCTTCCTGAGAGGAACAGAGTGGTGACTTACAGTAGAACACGCCAAGAGTGTCCTGATCACCCAGACAGATTTAGTTTTTGGCCTCAGGTGTTGTGTATTGAGAGCGTGCGTGAACGCTGCTACTGGGAGGTTGAATGGAGTGGTGATTATTGTGTGTGTATATCAGTGTCTTATCAGAGTATAAGCAGGAAGGGATGGGGTGATAAGAGCAAATTTGGAGGTAATGATCAGTCCTGGAGTTTAATCTGCTCTCCTTCCAGTTACACATTCTGTCAAAATAACAAACAGACTGAACTCTCTGCAGTGTCAAGCTCCCATAAAATAGGAGTGTATGTGGATCACAAAATCGGAATTCTGTCCTTCTACAACATCTCTGACACAATGGCCCTCATTCACAGAGTCCAGACCACATTCACTCAGCCACTCTATCCTGGGTTTAGGTTTATATTTCCATTTGTGTACAGATTATTTGGATCAGCTGAATATCCAACAGTGAAACTGTGTGACATAAAATAGATGGTCCATGGATTCCGCACATGCTGATTTGCCTAAAATAGTTAATGGGATTTGACAGATGTTGCTGCTTAGTAACAATACACACTTGTTGATGTAACAGATTTGATTAGATCTAAAAAAAAAAGATAAGAATAAAGAGCTTCAGATCTTCAATTCTACCCTTTATAGAATAATGCATTTACATGTATGTGGGATTGCGGCAATATTTTATGCCTGAACACGTGTTTACATTTCTATAATATAAGTTCTATTGTTTTACATGGTTGATGTGATTTAGAATATCTATGGAAGTAATGTATAGCATCTCATTTTGAAGAAAGTACCCAGCAATATGAACTTCTCCAGAGTTGTTCAGTCGTTATACAAGTGGGATGATTGGTCGGTGTAGTATTTGTCCTCCTCCATTAATTGGACGACTGAGTAAAAAGTGACAAAGATGAGTGCTATGTTTTACCCAAAGTTGAACAGTTTTCAACTCAGCTACAAAAAAAAAAAACTAACGGCAACGAACTTGTGAAATATTATAGTAGTGGATCAAAATGCAGTGTCATCAGTTTGCCAATGAATATTACATGTAATGCTATTTTTGTCTTATATTTTTATTTATCAATATATATAACCATACATGGTCAATGCACATATTGCAGTATATTTAAAAATATCAGCACTAGTTTCCCTTATATGGAAATGTATTATATAATACACTGAACAAAATTATAAATGCAACACTTTTGTTTTTGCCCCCATTTTTCATGAGCTGAACTCAAAGATCTAAGACTTTTCTATGTACACAAAAGGCCTATTTCTCTCAAATATTGTTCACAAATCTGTCATTACATTTTGAAGTATTTTTCCATATATTTTTGTTTCATAAGGGGAGAGTATATGTTAAAGGGACACTTCACCCTGACAGTTCATACAGTAAAATTTTGCCATTATTTACTCACCCTCAAGTTGTTCCAAACCTGAATTAATTTCTTACTTCTACTGAACACAAAAGAAGATATCCTGAAGAATGTTGCCAACCAAACACTTCCATAGTAATTTTTTCCCATAATATACATACATACTCTTTTTCTATACCACTTGATGGAATGAGCTGAGACCATTACAATGTTAAAGAAACATCTAAAGGTACACCTTTGCTTTAAGCACTTAACTAATCCACAGCCATATACAAAGGGACTCACTACACTTTTCTTGTTCTAACTCTGTTCTTTTCTGCATTCCCCTGTTCTAGCTTGGATACCAATGTAGCTTATACTCTAAACTGTGCACAGATATTGTTATTATGATTAATTTCTTGTGATAAACATTTGCGAGTTGCTTTGGACAAAAGCATTTGTTAAATGAATAAATAAATATGTATAAAATAGAGGACAAGAATATTGATGAGAATAAACGTACTCGGTTACTAACTCAACCTTGGTTCCCTGAGATATGGAACGAGTACTTTGGGGAAAACTCCTTTTTCTCTGATGACTTTCAATAATGCAGTGTAACTGCACGACCATTGGTTTGTGCAGTGAATAAAAAACGAACCAATGGCTCAGCAGCGGAGCTGAACGAGCCTATGGCGACAAAGCCCGCCAGAATGGGCGGGCCATCTGGCTATATAAGCGGGCGTTCCGCTGTAGGATCCTCGGGTTACTTCGACTGAAGCAATGACTGAGTCGTGCAGCTACATAGCACGGCAAAGTACGCAGTACTCATTCCGTATCTCAGGAAACCAAGGTCAGGTTAGTAACCGAGTACATTCCCTATCGATACTTCACTCGTACTGCATCTGCTAAGCCACTTTGAGGAACCAGTACAAACCCGCCGTGCTATGCTAGAGGAACGACTAATACTTGAACTTGCCTTAAGCACCCAAGGGGGCCCAGAGGGCCCAAGTATTTTGCAGGGAAGCCCCGCAGGAGGCAATAGGTCCAAACTCACAGAGGTCGGCCCAGCCTTAAATAATCGTCCCAAGATAATTTAGTACAGCCTCGGAACTCAGTGAGGACAAAAAGCGTACATGAATACCTGAACACTGGTTTGTCATATGACAAGAGTGAGCCCATTCATGCAGACCTGTAAGGCCGGGATGTCCAGATTATAGAACCTGGTAAATGTGGACGGCCCAGCCGGCCACCGCACAAATCTCTGCGAGGGACACACCGCTAGACCAAGCCCAGGAAGAGGAGACACCTCTAGTTGAGTGGGCTCTTACTCCTATGGGGCATTGTAGGCCCAAAGAAGAGTATGCTAGCGCAATAGCGTCACCTATCCATTTGGAAAGTCTTTGCTTTGTGACCGGAAACCCTTTGGTGCGGCTGCGGAAGCATCTAAAGAGCTGATCCGACTGCCTGAACAGGGCAGAGCGTTCAACATAAACTCTCAACGCCCTGACGGGGCAGAGTAGATACAACTCTTGGTCTTGCTCCGAAGGAGGAAGCGCCGCCGATAGAGTTATTATCTGTGCTCTGAACAGAGTAGAGAGCACTTTAGGTACATAACCATGCCTTGGCTTCAGGATGACTTTAGAGTCGCTGAGCCCAAATTCGAGGTAGTTGGGGCTCACAGAGCACCTGCAAATCTCCCATATGCTTCACCGATGCTAACGCCAGTAGCAGAGCAGCTTTCAGCGTCAGGGGACGAAGGTCAATAGACTGTAGCGGCTCAAAGGGAGGGTTCCTTAGAACCCTCAACACCGCGGGCAGATCCCACATAGGGACGGTGATGGGGCGAGGCGGGTTGAGCCTCCTAGACCCCTTCAAAAAACAAACAACTAGGTTGTTCCTGCCCACCAATTGGCCAGTTATAGGAGCGTGAGAGGCTGCTATGGCTGCTACATAGATCTTGAGTGTGTAAGGGGATGGACCCTTATCCAACAGCTCTTGCAGGAAGGACAATATCAGAGATATGTCACAGTAAATAGGAATAAGTCGCAGGAGAGGCGCTGATCCTCACGTGTAAAACACGCTGGCCGATCAAAGAGCTGCATGGAGTGTGACGAACACGGGAGCTGTGCCGGCATGAAAAACACTCAAGTCTAATCAATCAAACCCGCAAATTCGCTGTTTCTTTCTCCAATGTAACTGGGAGGGGAGAAACACAAGCGTAGGGACAGACTCACACTTTCATAGTGAAAGCAGCCACCGCGACGCACACACAAATGACAGCAGTGACAGCATTCCAGCAGTGACAGCATTCCATTCCGATCACTTAGAAGGATTGTGCCACTCGATGTAACGGGGGACGCTGATCCTCGCGTGTAACACACACACTGGCAGATCAAGTGAGGCATGCGGGATGTGTGTCGGCGTAAAATCACTCAAGCCTGATCGCTCAAACCATGAACTTGCCGTTTCTTCCTCCGAGGTAACCGGGAGGGGGAGAAACATGAGAGCAGTAGGGGACCAGCGAGCGAAACGGGAACAGACTGGGGCTTTTGAATGAAAGCAGTCTGTCTGAGCGCAGCTTCAGCGCCACACACACAATGCGAAGCTGTCAACAATAGAGAGATGACAGCGTTCTGTTCTGATTCGCCCAGGAAGTTAGAGCCGCTCGATGTAACGAGGGGCGCTGATCCTCATGTGTAAAACACACCGGCAGATCAAAGTGCAGCGGGGAGAGCAGGCACGTGGGCTCACAGCGAGAGCATCTTTGCGTGGAGGCTGCCCAGACAGGCAACGCACTCACTACTCCTCTGCACGAGCCACACTCGCAGCGCGACATTTGCAACAATGTCGCTAGAAAATTTGCTCTTTAAGAACTTACCTCTTAGAAATAAGCTCTTTTAGGCTTGCCGGATGGCAGCAGGGAATCAGCTGGTACCTTTGCTGCTGCGACACTGAAGACGGCGGAGGAGCGGCGAATCAGCCGAGAATAGAGGTCACTGGTTCAGCTTAATCCGCTGCGAGGTGTTTCCACAGAGAGCAGGCTTCGAGTCTCGTAGATCAGCGGAGATCGTCGTCGTCGCTGAAGGAGAATTAATCTGAGGATCCTACGGCGGAATGCCTGCTTATATAGCCAGATGGCCCCGTCCATTCTGGCGGGCTCTGGCGGGCTTTGTCGCCATAGGCTCGTGCAGCTCCGCTGCCGAGCCATTGGTTCGTTTTTATTCACTGCACGAACCAATGACCTTGCAGTTACACTGCGTTATTGAAAAAGGCTTCAGTCAATGGAGAAAAAGGAGTTTTCCCCAAAGCGTCTTAGCAGACACAGCACGAGTAAAGTATCGATAGGGAACTGTATGTCACACATGGCAAAGGTTTGAATATCTGACAAACATTTCTTTGAACTTCTTACTGATCTGGGGTTATGGCTTTATGTTAGTGTTAATGGACTGCAAATGTTTTATTTAGAGTAGGACCAGAAGTCCTGGTTTACAGGGAGGTATAGTATGAAAATGTACATTGCATCTGCAAAGATCATTTTGCTGATATACTTTCATTGTAGAACATCTTTGAGTCAATTATCTGCTGGCCATGACACAAACTTCAGGCACTTACTGCTGCTCTCTGTTATCTTCTCAGTCAAAGCAGCTTCTGAAGTTTGAAATGCCTAAAAATGCATTTTCAGTGACAAGCTTAAAGAAATCAGACCATCACAGTATGTATAGGGCTAAATCTTAGAAAATGTCATATATTTTATTTATATATATAACCATCTTAAAAGCTGCATAATATGCTAAAAGGCCATAAGTCAAATTTTGTAAAGATCACAAATGGAACATAATTATTTTATAAAACGAACTGTATAAAAGGCAAAAAAAAAAAAAATTTTAGTAGCAAAAATATGGTACGTAGTATATTTATAGTGTATTCTTAACTAAAAATGGCTCAGAAATTACTCTTAAGATAATAGAAGTGTTATTGTTATAAAACAATAATGTATAAAATACACAATTTTTTTTAAATGCTTATTTAGGTAAATTAAAAAGGTCCTTTTGTCAATTTTGTAACACACTCTGGGCCCCCTTAAAAATGCACTATATGCTCCATTCGTTTAAAAATATGCATAGAATTTCCAACATACAGTAGACATACAAAGAAAAATATATTTTCTTTACTTTGTTACTATTTCATGGGTCAAACAAGACAAGACACAGCACTAAATACTCTTCGTCAAACTAATAGACCAGTGGTTCCCAACCATGTTCACTGAGGAGCCCCAACACTGCACATTTTGCATGTCTCCTTTGTCTAATACATCCATTTCAGTTCTTGGAGTCTTTACTAATGAGCTCATGACCTGAATCAGATGTGTTTAAGAAGATATGCAAAATGTGAAGTGTTGTAGTGCTAGATCACTACACTACTTCAAAACTATTTTATGAGTAATTTTGCATTAAAAAAATCTCTTCACATACACACCTTTTTTTCGCATGTCTCTCAAACACAGAACCAGGAAATCACCTGGTTAGTGCCATTTAGCTGTGTTGTGTCTCTATATGTGTGTGCAATGGCATGCAGTGAAATGGCTGAAGCAAGTGTTTCAGCAGAGCAGTTCAGCTGTTCAGTGTGTCTGGATTTGCTGAAGGATCCAGTGACTATTCCCTGTGGACACGGTTACTGTAAGAGTTGCATTTCAGACCACTGGAATCAAGAGGATGAGAAGAGAGTCTACAGCTGCCCTCAGTGCACACAGACCTTCAGACCTAGACCTGCTTTAGGAAAAAACGCTGAAGTGGTGGAGGAACTGAAGTAGACTGAACTCCAAACTGAAGTTGTGGAGTGTGACGTCTGTACGGAAATAAAACAAAAAGCTGTGAAGTCCTGTCTGGTGGGTCTGAATTCTTATTGCCAAAACCACCTTGAACAACATGAGAATTTTTTCAAACAAAAGAGTGTAGCGTCTGGACCACTCAAACACACAATACATATTTTGTTAACTTTAACTCTTTCCTATACCAACTGTAGATGTGTGTGTGTGTGTGTATGTGTATGTTAGACCAGTTTATGTGTTTATGTAGGATGTTAGACCAGTTTATGTGTTTATGTAGTACGTTAGACTAGTTTAAGTGTTTATGTAGTTAATAAAACCTTACTTGTATCACACTTGACGTGTTCATTGTTTGCTCATAACCGGAGTCACTTATTATGCAAGATTTATGCTACAAGCTCTTTGTAGAATTGTACAGTAAGAAGTTATTTCCCTTAACCAGGAAATTAACGTTCTTAGAATTGACAGACAGTTGACCCTGAGAGGTCAAGTAAATATCTACAGCGGATCTAAAATATGAATAATTAATTATAACTAGTTATGGTTAATTATTCATATTTCCTCATGAGCTGATTCGTTACAAGAGACACAATCTTATAGACGCCACTGGACGACTTCAGGAGATGATCTGCCGTAAACATGAAAAACTGCTGAAAATGTACTGCCACACTGACCATCGTTGTATTTGTTTGCTCTGTATGGTGGATGAACACAAAAATCACAGCACTGTATCAACAGCAGCAGAGAGGGCTGAGAAACAGGTACAGACTGAAAGACCCTGGTGTGCTGATTTTTGTCATGCTAAATAACTTATTTCTGATATCATTAAATAAGGATTAAATCATTACTATTAATTAATTAATAGATTAACATGTTTAAAAGGCAATGATAGAGAAATAAAAGCTATTTGTAACGAATGTAAAAAAGAAGTCCTGAGCACTTACTAATCTTTATTGTTGATTTTGATGTGTTTTTGTCATAGTTAAGAATGCAATCCATCCAGTATTCTGAGATAAAAAACACAATGGCAGGAGTCATGCAAATACATTTATGTTACCTTCAGTTTCACTCATATTTCTGTGATTCACCGTCATTTTTTGTCCTATAGAAATACTTGGGTGATACACAGAGAAAATTCCAGGAGAAGCAGCAGCGCTGGTTTAGTTAAGACTCTTCTTCAGTTGGTTATTGAAGGTGATTTTCAGTCCCACTGAAGCACAGCAGACTGTGTGAGCAGCCGTAAGAGCTGATTGTAATGTGTGTTCTACAGCGCTCTGCACAGACAGCAGTGGAGGACAGTGAGAGGATCTTTACTGAACTCATCCAGTCCATAGAGAAAAGACGATCTGAGGTCACACAGATGATCAGAGACGGGACTGATTTCTGGAGATTGGAGGCACCCTCAGACTGTAAGTGTGATCTGCCAGCAGTTCAGTGGAGAGATGAATCTGATCGCCCTGAGCAAGACCATTCAGTATCCTCTATGGTTCTCTCTGTCAACTCCAGTGCCAGTTACTTAAGTCCTGGCTAAAGAAGAGGAAGACAGACTTTTTCTGAAATGCACCGAGATGGCCATTCCGAGTTTCATTGACCCTGTCCATGCTTTAGGTGTATGTGGTGGCTACATATTGGTGTTTCTAAAGACAGACATTCACAAGACAGCTTAGGCATTTCCTTCTTGTTTCTGTTCCTTCTTGGGAACTATGTGGTGTTAAAAGGGCTCACTGGGCCTCTGTTCAAGCCTCTGTAATCCACCCCTGAGAGGTTTCTGTTGATGTCCGTCACATCCCTCAAATGTATTGGAGATTTGCATGATTTTGTTATGAGACACTAGTGATGCAGTGCCTTAGAAGAGTTGTGTCAGCACCATCTTCTATACAAGTTTCAGACAATAATCACAACTGGATATGTTCCAGTTCAACATTTCAAGAGTTAAGAAAAAAATTGGAGGAATTTGAAACAACTTTGCAAATACTAAAATAGGAGAGAGGACTTAACTTAAATCCCTAACAGATACAAAAAAAATGGGAGAAGAAAAATATTGTTTGAACCAATTTGGTAAAATAACCCATAGATTATTTTATACTATAGATGTCTTTTGTTTTCACAGTGAGATGCATCCACATCGTTCCCATCCCAGAATATGAACGCAGAAATGACTTCATACAGTGTAAGTTACTGGGGAAATAGGAACACACATACACACAGACAAAAAGAAAGGATTCTCATAGCTAACATAAATATGCTTACAAGACTTATGAGCACTAATATTTATTGCAATATTTAATTATTTATAATTAAATATCAAACACAGGGGAACATGACAATGAGATTTTTTAACAAAAATAACCAAGGTCAAGGTAATGTGCTGCATTAATAATTTAAATTGAGATGTCATGATTTTTTAGTACTGATGTTTTGTCCCCATCAGATTTCTATCGGTTCACTCTGGATCCAAACACAGCACATCAATGCCTCTGTTTGTCTGAGGGAAACACAGTGATGACTAACACCAAAATAGACCAGCGGTATCCAGATCATCCAGACAGATTTGATAGATATCTTCAGGCATTGTGTAGAGAGAGTGTGTGTGGACGCTGTTACTGGGAGGTGGAATGGAGTGGGCTTTGTCTTGTGTCTGTATCAGTGGCATATAACACAATGAGCCTCATCCACAGAGTCCAGACCACATTCACTCAGCCTCTCTATCCTGGGTTTAGGTTTATTTTGCCAGATACCTTGAATATAAGATTAAAGTCATTGTTTGGATTGGTTGAAGTTTCAACAGTGAAACTGTGTGATATAGAAATACAAGGCCAGAGATTCTGCAAATAATTTAGTAATGTGCTAAAAATATTCAGCAGGATTTCACAAGAATGCTGTTGCTTAGTGATGACGTACACTTGTGATATCACATCTATATCAAAAGAAATGAAAGAAAAGCTTGTGATATGCATCTGATTAACTGTTTTTTTTTTCAGATCTTCAGTAGAGATCTACCATTCACAGAGCACATGTGGGCACCCACATGTAAGAAACATCACATAACTGTTCATGTTTTGTGCTTTTATAGTTTGTTTATTTTATTGAGAATTTTGTATATAAAAATCCCTTCAGAAAATCCGGAACTTTTCTAAAAAATCTCAAATTCACATTTTTTCCCTTGGATATTGTGTTTAATGAGCTTATTAGTTTTTAAATAAAGTTCTAAGCTGTGTATGTATGTTTGAATTGCTTTACAATAGGGGTGCCCAATCCTGTTTCTGGAGATCTACCTTAGTAGTCCCTATACAATGTCAATATGATTAATGACTTTGATCTTTGTGACCTTTCCCCTCCCCCACATAGCCCACCCCATTCGGGACCACCCACATCCTGTTGACCTCGTGACTATGGTTGGGAATCGAAAATCGATTACGATTCCAGAATCGGATACTTAAGGTCAGGAATCGGATTCTTGTTGTCAGATTAAAATTTCGATTCCGCCTATCGATTCCTATGTGCTTTTTTTTTCTTCATCTGTGAAGACCAGACCTAGCGATCTGCCAGGACCTTGCTCGTTAATCTAAGCACTCCAAAGTTTGGTGACATTTGCGATCAGATGGCAAAAAAGCTAAGTATAATATCTGTGATAGCTAAACATGTTGCAAGAGAGGTGTCACCACCAACATGACAAAGCACTTTAATTGAATAGATTGTTAAAGTTTGCGAACATGATTCAAACACCAACGTGATTCTATTCCTAAATTACAATGATTCGTCTGTTTCATTCCTCAACCTTTAATGTGTGCGATCAATGTTGTGATCACTTGTTGGTTCGTCCGTGCAGAGGATGATCACACCAGTGTGATTTGACCATTTAAAGGGGTGGTTCACTGTGTTTTTTCTAGGCTTGATTGTGTTTATGGGGTGCAGTCTAACATGTGTTAATGCTTCGTTTTTTAAAAAAGAACATTATTTTTCATTATTTAATTCCACACAGCTCTGTCCCTTCTCTGAGAAACACGCTGATTATTTCAAGCTTTTATGAAGCCCCGCACTCAGAAATAGGCAATGGGCTCTGATTGGTTAGCTAGCCCAGTGTGTTGTGATTGGCTAAACCGCCTCTAGTGTGCGTCTCAACGTCCCGCCCCTCAGCTCAGCGGCATGTGCTCTGGTTGTGTTGTAAACAGCGGCGTTGTTAATATCGCTTATCAGTTTGAGCCCGATTGAGAAGCAGAGGATATTAGTGAAGAGGATCGTGCAGAACCTGTACAAGCATGGCTTTTAATGGTAGGCCTATGTTTTTTGTTTGTTGTTGTCTCATACTTTTAGATATGCTGTTATTTGTAAATGCTGCTGCTTCTGTTAGCTTTTAATATACAGTTTTATACAGTTTTACGGCAACTGCACGCAACTGCACCATGTTTAACGCTTCTCATAGCTATGTGAAAATAAGTGGATAATTGTAACAGTTCATTGCTGGAGCTGAGCTAAATGAGAGTGAGAGAGAGAGAGAGAGAGAGAGATGCAGAGCGTGTGCAGAGCAGGAGGACGCGAGGAACAGTATTAAGAACCACTGCTTTAGAACATTGATTTTGAAACTTGTGAATCCATTAGAATCG